GACTCGTCTACGAACGGATCTTCACCTGTCTCGTCCGTGTTGTGCACGTGGTTGGCCTCCGGTTTGAACTCGTCGAGGAGAGCTGCCCATCTCTCGTAGAACTGCACCATGCGAGGCTCCTCGTCTTCGGTGATCCTGTTTGCCTCGTAGATGCGGGTCGAGCGCTCCGCGACCCGTGGGTGCCTACGACGGAAGCCCGCAAGCCAATCTTTCCCCGGACCCTTCTCTGGATCCCAAGGGATCCGCCGACCGTCGTTGCAGAGTCGTCGCACCGCATCTCTGAGGTGAACCCGACCCACAGCCAAGAAGTTGCGAGCAGCAAACAGCAGAATATCTTCCAGCGAATCCTCTTCTTCTTTGCTCAGGATGGTCTCGGCACCAACCTTCGCGTTCATGGCCACCTTGCCACGGCGGCGGTCTTCGATGGACGTACGACCTACCCCAAAGACCCCAGCAGCCTTCCTAACCGACATTCCATCATCTATCGCTGCACAGGCCTTCCGAACCTGCTCCTCGTCCACCTTGCGCCGGGTCATGCTTAGCAAAAATCCCAAGGAAACGACTAAGGTGGCTAGTAGCGGGAGCGGTGGGGGCTCCCTCGGCTGTATCTCGGGGTGGAATGCTCGGCGTGCCACGCTGTGGTGCTCAAACGAGAGCTACGGTTTCGCGGAGCAATTCAAAAAAAGAACCAAGGGGCTCCGTGGATTCTGTGGGGAGATACCCCCCTTTAAAAAAAAGTGGCCTTTAATACCCGGGTGGCCTTTAATACCCGCCGCTACTCTATGTGCGTGAAAAGATGTGTTTCCGAAGCCACTCGACGAGACGGCTTCAACGCGGCCGTTTGGAAGCTGCAACTCTTTCTTCTTGCTCTCTGTAGGCAGCTATTGCTACGGTAAGTGGTTTCGTTTGTGTGGTCAGCAACAGCTCACTGAAACGGGGTGCTCCCCACATACTACTGCAAGGAGCTCCCTGATTGGAACCACGCGCTTGAGAGGGTAGCAGGTGGAAGACTGAAGCGATATGACAGCATGGTACAAGATCGCCAAGAAGAAAAGGGTCCAGCCAGGCAGACGAACCACGAAGGAGAGACCGCACCGTACGCTTGTATCATGATCAAAATCCAAAGGACGGCGCTGCGGTCTCAGCCGTATTGTTCTTGCGCCGTCCATTGTGTGTGCGTACGCGACATTTCCGAAAACTACTGGGGGGCGTCTGCTCCAGGTTCCTGCTCCGCGCGCAACGATCAGCCGGAGGATCCATGTTTATTGCTTTCTCCCTGGCCGTGGGCGAGCAAATTCAATCCCGGTGGAAACTGAGGATTTCGAATTTTCGAAAAACTTCAATCGGTCTGCGAAGATGACCGAAACATTGTTTCACTTTGGGTGATACAGACACACACGCCGACATTTTTACTACAGGGGCGATCCCAAGCTCAGCGGGAGAAGAAGCAGAAGGCGAATCCCAAGGCAGTGGGACGGTGTTTTGTCACCTATGTTGTACCCTCTCTGCTGATTGGCGCAGTAGTAGCTGCTCCGTGTTGCCCCTAGGGAGCACGATAATAATAAGGTGCGGCGAAGAGAGGGCAAACATTACTTTGTGTCTAACCGATGAAATCTACCTGTGTGTGCGTTCGGAGAACCCACGCTACGCACGGCCTTCTGTATCGTGCACCCCAGCGGTCGTGAGTGTTCTACCATCAGCAATGTGCAGGCGGTCCTCAGAATTCTTCCACCATGATGACCTCGTCATCATCCCCGCCACCACTGACTACCCCTGCTGCTACCTGTTCTCCCTTCGGCGCCCTCGCAGGAATTCTTCCACTACTACTGCCTAACCCCTGCCAGGCTTGCCCTACTTCTACCTCCACCGTCGGTGCTTCTCCCCCCGTTGCGGACATGCTCTTCTGCTGTTTCCTGTGTATACATGACGATAAACGACAAGCGAGGGGTGTCACCATCATAAACACTGTACCCCGGACAAAAATATCAGGAGGATCTTTCCCAGGCAACATTGAATAAATCTAATCGTGTGGTGAGGAAACTTCCTTGGACGACGAAGTGGTAATATCGGCAGGACACGTGGAGATTTGTAAGCCCCCCCATCTCGTCATCTCGAGAAGTACAAAGCTTGCCACGTGCGGTGTAACCAATGGTTGATTCAGCGAGCCACACCGGCCAGCCAAGTCATTGCGGGGCTGCCATTTTCAGCATGTCGCGCGGATGTCCACCGCACACGTTGCCGTTGGTTGGGATGAACGTCGTCGCTTCGTACGATCAGTTCGGTGAACAGCTCGCGTGCTTGGTACTCTGGCGCAACCAACCATGCATGTGTTTCGAAACCTGTCCTGGCTTTGGTGGGATACCAGGACCGACCTAAGGTAGCATAGTACGCCACACACAACAACCATGTACACAGACATCCTCTCGCACAACGTCCTCACCTCGTTGGAAATTGCGACAGCCCAGATCCTAGAGCTAAAAAGCCATAAGTGGGCCTCACTGAAGCGTCTACCCCATCCTCCCCCCTCCCTCCTCCTTCTCCTCCCCCCTCTCCTCCCGACGAATCGCCACATTGTTTCTCTCCACCTCCCTCGTCCGACGAAGCACTAGCCTTGACCTTGACAACGTACACATCGGAAGCCGCGCGCAGGTGTTTCGTGTTTATTTTTCTTAAATTTCCACGACTTCTGTTTTCAATGTGAAGACAACAACAACAAGAACAACAAGAACAACAACTCAACCGGCTCTCAGTGACTGAAGTCGATCTTTGTACGTAGCTGGACAACAAGACGAGGGGAACATTGGAACCCCGGGTCCACTTGTACTAGTGTGTGTGTGCCAAGCGTCATTAATGACCGCACTCTTCAGACTATAGTCTAGAGCCGCATCTTTAAAACGCCGCCACGCCAACAGAACGGTCGAGCTAAATAATGAATCGAAAGATGAACGACACACAACGTCTACCCCGTGCATGACACGATCGCTTTGTACAATGAGATGGTTATTTCACGTTTGTGCTGGGACTGGACGTAATTTGTGAGACGTTTAGCGTTGAGTGCATGCCGAAAGTTAAACCTCTCGTGAGAAAGGCACAACCAACCGCCTACGATCCGGGTTGTAAGAGGGGGGCACCTGGTACGCTGTATTTGCACGCGGTTTCAGCGTGGCCCACTGGTTCGAATCTGCGGCAACTCCCCGAAGTTTGGTGTGCTACGGCCATCTTGCCACCTCACTGTCTACGCACATTCTGTGGTTGCCCTCACATGTCTGAATGATGCTTCCATTTTCGAATCACAAAACATTTCGAGCTTTCAGAAAAGACTTGGAAAATTTTCAACAATTTAGGTCCCACAAAGCCGACAGAAAAGCAATCATACTGCAGCACAAAGAACAAGTGGCGGAGGACTGGTTCTCGACCGCAACAATACCCATTACCACCTTACACTGCCCTCGAAGGCATTCGCCTACATATTCACGTTCAGTTCGTCGTGTTGGTGGATACGTCATTTGAGACAGTGAGCCAAATCTTCCAGACAAAGCATACACGAGCAACCATAGCAGTGCCACCCACACCTCAGGGTCCCCCACAACCGACAGCATAGCGGTAGGCCCCTGCCCGTCGTCAGCAAGCTTGCCTTCAACACCTTCCTCTGTCGCCACTTCCCCCGCCGTCCCCATGGCAGTGCTCTCAACCACTCCGCCGTCCAAGTCACTCGTAACCACACCGCGGCTGTTTACTGCGCCAAGGGAACCTCTGCCACTGGCGTTCCTTGTAGATCCATCCAGAAAGTCCGACGCCGATGTCGGCCGGGGCTCAAAAGAAGGTGGCACGCGACCTTCGTCGGTTCCAGAATCTCTGCGGGGGGTGAGGTGGGTCCTTACTTGTTTCTCTGCGTGCCTCCTTCAGAGGGATTTTTGGGCGACGGTCTGATGCCGGGCGGGGTCGGGTTACGCATCTGATACGTGCTTCCATCCAAAGGATGATGAATGCCGTCGCAGGTCTACTCTGGTCTCGCCATCTTTGCTTGCTATTGTGGGATGATTGTTCCTTCTGGCCCATTGTGACCCTATGGCACCCGAAAATACATTCACAGGGTAGGCGGACACGGCGTGTGTAGCGCACGCGAAGGGACAGTATGCTACCCTTTCCAAGGGCAAGTTCGCCAACGCTTGGAATTGCAGTACGCGACTAAACCGTGCAACGGAGAGGAGAATAACAAACAGCAGCAGATCTGTAGCCATCTCAATCAACGGACTCACGGAGCCTTCCCCATCGGATATGTGTGTTTGATTGTGTGTACATGCGCTGCTTTGCAAATGTCACCCACCCGCCATTGTGATCATCGTCGTCCCACTCAGAAAAGCGCCCCACGGACGCCTGCGCTGCAAGACCACCAGCGGCGGCGGTATTACTCGAACTCATGGAAGCACTTTCGGCTAGTTCTTCGCGAGGGGTGACGACCGGCGTCAACATCGCTAAAACGGATTTCGCCGTTCGCGTCGCCCCGGCATCGAATTTCTCTTGGTCATCGTCCTCCTCCCTGTCGGTAAACGCCGCTTCTTTCACCGCCGCGTGATGTCGGTCGCCGCTTTTGTCTGGCAGCTGTTTGGTAGACGACATTCTCGGTTTATCCTCGCCGAAGTCTTCTAGAAGTTGTTCGTCGACAACAGAGGCATCCGACGAGGAAAAACTAGGCATTGGTCGAATGTGTGTCTCGGCTGGGATCGAGGAGGCCAGGGAGTCGTCGGGTTTCCAAGTAGCCCCATCCCCCGCCGCGTTCACCACAGCCTCATCGCCCGTTCGACTGTGGCCATTGCCACCGTAGTTATTCTCCCTTCCCTCCCCTTCCTCTTCATCGTCGGGGACAGAAAGTGCATCACTATGCTGGGGACGTTTGTCCTTTCCAAACAGCCCTACCGTCGCCACCGCCGCAACCGGTTCGCCGTTACCCCGATCGATTTCCGCCCCCGACACGGCGCTCGTGGCGAATGCCCATCCTCCTTCAGCTTGTTTCGTATCCGATGTAGCCTCTGTAACAGATCGTCGGTTGTGATGAGCACCAGCACCGGCACCGGCACCAGCATCAACACCGCTGTTAACACCGCTGTTGTACGGTGCGTTCACGATTGTGTCGGTCCCAACGTCCCCGTCGCAGTCATTTGTCTCCTCTTGCTCTTCGTCTTGTCCGCTAGAATTCGCCAAGACATCGTTGCGGCGGTTAGCACTACGGCTCTCCACCTGGACAACAATATTCGTCGGTTCTCGCGCTTCAGATGCTAAAGTTCCACGGAGTTCCAGGGACTCGTCGCCCAGCGTGTTGTGCTCGCTGCCCAGAGTATCAGCGGTCGTTGTGGAGGTAGGTCGTTGCCACGACGGTACGACTACAGGGTTCTGTGCAGCCACACCGGGAGTTTCCGGCGCCGGAGAAGGAACGGTGTAACGCGAGGCACCAGAAGCCGTTGTTGTGGCCACTGCCTTGGCAGTCGGTGTCGACAGATCTGCCGCCGCGGCCGTCGTTCTTGCTATCTCTCCCTGACGACACACACGGTCAACGTTACTGCCGGACAAGGCGGTTGCCGACGTGGATGCTGCAGCTGCCTTCGCCGCTTCGCTGCAAGGGTGTCCGAATATATCGCGGGTTTCGAGAAACAAGGTGGGCGGTGGGCGTTGAATTCATGGCCTTGAACATTGGAGCGCATGTGGTCGATACGCACACACAACGCTTTGAAAATCGCTTCTCTCTTCATCTGTAATCCTGAGGTATCATGCTAAGATCTAAGTGTAGCAACCCGCAAGGCTACTGTTTACGCTTACGGGGCACAGGAGACCAACCGGCAGAGGTAAGGATACAGTGCGTGTTGATCATATACGCCAGGGTTGTAGTTGGAGTTCACGAATGCATGTTTTGTCTCTACTTCGAGGCGTATTCCCCACTCGTCAGCCAATTATCTGGTTGCTTCGTTCGTACTCTCTGTCTACCTGGCGGATCGCCTGCGTTTGACGGCTTCCCAATTTATCTCGGCTGTCCGCTTGGCAATCGCGAGCATTTCCTGCATGCATGGGACGTTCGGCTCGGTTAATCCTGGTAAACGAGGAGGCGATTAACGAAGCAGCGGTTCTAATCCATGACAAGCAAGACAAGCATCACGTGACAAAAAATATCCAAGGCAATGGCTGCGTGTTTTGGGCTTGGACGCCATGCAGCAACCAACCGCCGTTGTTTGTTTCACTGTCGCGCTACAGAACTGTACGCCACAAAGAGCAATGATGGCTCAGCGGATTACATCCTCCTTTCCGAGGACATCGGCGCAGAAAATACCAAGCTGAAGATTGTCTGTAACACATATGCGTTCCTTAGTGATGTTGCCAAGGGGGCAGCCTTGAGTTTGCCATAACTAAGTCGCGTTAGAGGAAAAATGGCCCCCACTACCTTTCTTTCAACGGGGACTCTGCGGGTCATTTAGATAGCGCCCACACCGAACCAGAAAACGGGCACCACACTTCAAGCACCAAGCAACAGCACATCTCACCTTCGAATCAACACCACCACCGCCTGCCCACCCCAAACCGATCCCTTCCCACACGCCCCCTCCCACCGCGTTCCCGTCCCCCAGCCCCGTTCTTGCCCCCGTCGTACGTGTCCCAGTAGGACCACCACCTCCGCTTCGAGGGGGTTGCCAACGGCTGGTGACGAATGGCGCAGTGCTGCCACTACCGCTGCCGCTACCGCCACCCTCGGTGGTTTGATAAAAGGACCTCACGCCAAGCTCTAATTTTGAAGGCGTGTCGAGCCTTGAACCACGAGAAAAAACGGTGGCGGCAGTAGAAGCAGCGCCGCCAGAGCTGTCGGGTCGAGGAAAGGACGACAACAAGCGATGCCCAAGATGACCGCCTTCCATTGACGGAAAGCGGTGAACGCTGCCTCTGGAGCTTCCCGTGTTAGCGTTATTGCTGCTGGCGTTGTTTTTTCGTGCGGTTCCTGCGAGCCGCAGTTCTTTCGCTACGAGCGCGTAGGCATCATCGAGCCCGGTGGCGGCCGTCGATGACGATTCCAGCACACTCTCGCGTCTCTTCGCCAACACTTGTCCAAGCTTAGCCTGGTACTCGGCGCCACTCATTCTGGCGCGTTCAGCGTCTACCCCGTAGCTGTATGAAGGGGTGTTGGAGCAATGTGTGTTGACGAGAGGGGCGAGGGGGGGAATGGCTCCCGGCTGTTGCGTGGGTCGAGCATCACGACCAACTAAATTATTCGCCTTCCGGCGAAAAAGGTTACTCTAGTAGACGGCCGAACAGCGGAGACAGGAACCGTGCTTATTTATTGCCCAGCTGGCCGCTGCCCATATCCCGACCCACCTGCGCGCGCGCTCACGGAGCTCCCTCACCACCTCCTCTCGTGCCTCCCCTGCCTATATGTCGACCAGATTCCAACCAAGAAGGCAGCAGGTGTGAAGCGGGGCTGGTTCTAAGCTCCATGTGTTTACACAGAAGTTTGGGATATACCGGCGACGCTTTCAAAGGGTAGTGATCTCTATCTCGTACAACCAACGAAATCTGTTGGACTGTTATAAACTTGCCATGACGGTCGTGTTGTTCGCTAGTGTTGTTGTTGTTGCTGCTGCTGCGTGTGCAGTTCCTGCAACTACCTGTCGTGACGGGAAGAAAGCAGGGTGCCCCTGGATCACAGACAAATAGAACATTATTTTCAACTCAGCGTTGCAGTCCGCTGACAAGGAGGCGCCATGTACACCGGAGTATCATTTCAACAGGCAATCGCAAGCCACAGGGTTCTCTTCGATTGACATCTCCCCTTACCTGCTGCTGGTCGACGGGAAAATGTGCCCCAATTTCTACCCTAGAGGTCAGCCTCAACGCGTGCGCCCCCTTGCCATGGGACGGCTGTGATCCTTCCACGCGTGTCCCCTTCCCTCTGGCAGCCTCCTGAGCGGCGCAATCTGCTCTCCTGCAGGACAGGAAAACAGAGTGTCACAAAGCAGTTTGGTCATATCAGGTAACGATATACAGGCAAGGTGTGTGGTAGCCCGTTTAGGCGTGCGCTCGCAGCCTGAGCTCGATTACGATGCCGCCCACTTTGTTTAGTAAAGCGGAACGCAATAGCCATCGCCCCCCTGCTGCACACCCATTCGTCCCACTTTACACAAAACAGAAAAAGTCACAACTGTCTTCATGCCCTGTGCTTCTCCCGCAAGGCCACCATCCAGTTGCCGACCTCTGTTCTACCAAATGGCATTTCCCCCGGCCCTTTCGCATGCGCATGCCTCATGAGGTTACCGTGCTGAAACGCACGGCCAAAGCCAGCGGCGGAAACACCTCCTGACCGAAGGAAAGAGTACGCAGCCAAAGAACGACCGCATCCTCACCGGTGAGCCATCAGCAGTAATTCGTCGAGTTTCCAGCGTCTGATTGGCTGCTTTGGCGTTGGCGGTTGAAGTTGCGAAACTGGCGGCGTGACGGTAGTAATTGTGGTAGTGGTAGTGGTAGCCACAGAGGCCCGCCATTTGTCCATGGCCCTCTCCTTACGACGCCTGTCCTGCTCGCGCAGGGTTCGCCTGAGGAGAGCGAACGCGGTTGACATTGACAGGCACATCCATATGTTGGTTCAGCACGTTTGGGCGTCAGGTTTACGGGGAATGAAGTAAACGTTGATTTGAAATGGTGCTGAGTCGCTGTTGTAGGCCGCTTATTGTTCGGCTTGCACTGCTTCACAACAGAGGACTGGCTGGAGTTGATGGACTCGACAATAACTGCAAGGTTAGACCGGGAAATGACCAAACCCTTCTACCATGAAACAAGCCTCCGCCCCTGACACCGAAAAACATAAAGTGGGCACGAGTTTCACTTTGTCGAGCACCTAATCGAGATTATCCCACGCACACGGCGGCGGCGGCGATCTCCATCGCCACCCCGCGGCGGCAGCGGTATCGACGGTGACGGCGATGGTGTTGGTGGTGGCGACGGCTGCGGCTGCGGCTGCGGCTGCGGCTGCGGCTGCGGCTGCGGCTGTTGCTGCGGCTGTTGCTGCGGCAAGCACTTGATTGCTTCACCTTTCCGCTGCTTCGATGAGGGAGGAGAGAGGGAGGTAGAGAGAGAGCCAGACAGACAGACAGACAGACGGACAGACAGACAGACAGACAGATGGACAGGAGAGAGGAATATAATGGAGAACGGGCGGGCGAAAAACGACGCAGACAGGGGGTGGGTGGGTGGGAAGGGACGAGAACGGATGGGCGGTAAACTCTGTGAATCCATTCGATTTGCCATGCCTTTGCAGAGTAAGCCTAGTGAGTTTGTAGCTGATTGATATGCCCGAAGACCCCGGGTACGCGCAAACAAACATGGCCAGAACGAACACGATATTATGTACAACATAGCAAAGGTCATTGGGGGTTCAGGCCATCTGTGCGAAGACACCATAACCTTGGACGTGAATCTTGATTATACGGATATCGCGCACACCAGGCAAATGATTTTTTCGGATGACACAGCAGACCTCAGCACACAAACGCGGACGTGCGGTCGTCCTACACGTTACCTGCGAAAGGTCAGTAACGATCGCCGGCCTTTACACGCTGGCACATCACGCCCTTTAGAAAAGCATTGCTTTGGTCACCCTCTTGTTCTCCGTGCTATGCGCGATACTGATTGAGTACGGCCTTGACAGCGTGATGCAATCCTGCGCCAAAGATACTCGTTTCTACTGCGAAGGCCAGCTTGAATTTCCTCGACAGATTCCTCCTACGGAAGCGTCCAGCCCTGTCAAGTACTGTTGCCATGCGGAAAGAACTCAACGGCCGAACCTTGAGGTCCTCCACCTCCCTCCGAAGAGCCACCATCTCCAGCTTGAACCGGGCGTGCTCCCTCTCGCGGACGAGCTCCCCGAGTCGCCTCGCCCCTTCCACTACCTCGGAGCCGATGCCATTTTCACCACCACCCTTATCTTCGCTTCCGGTTCCTTTTCCTCCCGCCGCTTCTTCTTGCTGCTGTGGCGGAGAGGGTTGTTCCTCGGTCGCCCGAGGCTCTTCTTCAGGTGGCGGCAGCGGCGTCGAAGCGGGAGAGTCGTCATTTTCTTCCTCTTTCTCCGCCAGGGGTGCGGTGTCCTGCCGCACTAGATCCGGGTGCCGGCGATCCATGTGCTTTCTCAGGAACTGCTCGGACGAAAACGCCTTTCCGCAGGCCCCGCAAACCCTTGCCACCGGGATTCCTGACGCCGACGTCCCCCCCCCACTGGCTGCGGCTCCGCAGTTATGACCCCCCTGCGCCACCCGCGAATCCTCCACAGGAGGAGGTGGAGCGGAGGGCTTGTGGCTTCCGCAAGCCGGCATGCCGGCCGCTGGTAGACAAGATCGCGGGTCTTTCGGTTGCGCACTCGGCCCTGAACACCCTCCTGCTCCGGCTACCTCGGCCGGGAGAGATTCCCAGATTGCTCTTGGGTCGATGCCGTACTGTCGGAGAACACTCTGCGGAAACGTGGAATGTGTGCCCGGGACGTTGGGTTCGTTGTCGCGCCGGCTTGGTTAGGGAGGGGAACTTAGATGTGGCCGAGAATGAATCGATTGTTTGTGGATGTAACCTAGTATGTTCTCTGTGTGAGGAACGAGACAGTTTCCCGTAGCCCCGTCTCACGGGGCGACCGACAGCATGAATATGCTCAGCTAGAGAGTTGAGATCGCGTGAGAAACTCGTGGACCTTTTGTTTACTCCCATCACCCAGAAAGTCAGAAATGCTTCAGCAGCGAGCTTCGACACGCGCATGCGATCCGCCAATAGTCGTCGGGCTCGTTGTGCCTACCTGGCAAGTATTGAGGACGTGCTGGTGCTGCACGGACTCTCTCTTCATCCTTCTACCGTCCTTGGCCGACAACTCGGCATAGGCCTGTACGTGTCACCCAGCGAGAAGGACGACATTGAGCAACACAAATCGCTAAACATCAAGTGCATTTCAAGAACCCACACTGTGCACCCTCACAGTGAGTCGCAGTGGATAAAGGTGCTTCCCGGCTCCTTGGATCGGGACTGTCGAGTTTTTCCCCCTGAGCAAATGTTGGGGTAGGGCACACTGCTTCTCGCGTAACGTCGTTGACTTCGTCTCGCTGACCATGACCCTGCCTAACGTGGGCATTACCTCGAGACGCTGGTTGTTGTTGTTGACAGTCTCCAGCTGCCGAACCAGGCCCTGAATGTAGCCTTCCTGGCACTCCTAGAACCATTCCCGAAATGTAACGAAAGAATGACGATGGAACGGTGATTGGCCAAACGTTCAAGCCTTCTGCATAGCTTGCAAAGAGAGCATCGACAAGCCCAGATCCGAAAGGACAGAAGAATACCAAATCCCTCGGCCTTGTGTGCTGTGTACTGTGAACCGACGCAATTGTATCGTTCTTACGCAACCCTCCGCAGGACAGCAGTGTCTTGAAAGAGCGGGGCCTCTGCGTGGACGGGCGAACAACGACAAAATACACGGCACGCGCACAAGGCATGCAATACACCGTTGCCCACCCTGATTCCCGTTGTCTACATGGCACGGGCAGCGATTACTCTCGAAAGTACGACCCCATCTGAAGCAATCTACGAGAGCACGAGGGCGAACGGCAATACATTCAACACACAGCCGGAAGTCTGTCGTCCGGTCTCCTCCGTACGCCCTTCTGCCGGGGGGGGGGCTAATTCTTCGTCTTTTGTGTCCTGCCGGGGTAACTTTTCATCGGTCAGACGGTAACAACCGTGGTCTCTCGAGTGTTGGTAGGCATGGCAGGGTGCTTTACCTGCACGTGGAGCAGGTACTCTATCGTGAGCTGCGACAGGCGTATGAGCTTGACAGCAAGATCGTCGACTCCGGTCGGCGGTATGTCTTCCGCAGACACCTCACAGAATGCAACCTGGGCGGACATGCACGCACCACCGCAAAGCACGGGCCGGCACAGAGTCGACCAGCGGCAACTTGAAGAACGCACGGTACGCTCCTTTTGTTATTCGTGGTAGGTCGATATTACAAGCCTGATACACGCCTATAATACGACACAGCAATGTAGACAATCAGAAAATGTTTGGCCCTCTCAAAAGGCATTCATGTACGAGCTCGATGCCAGCGTGGATGCAATACAGGGAGAAGGGAGAGGCTCCCTGGGAGTGGACTTGTCCGACTAAGATGGTCATGTCGAGGTCACACTTGGTTTGGCCGGCCATATTCCCGGCACAAGGCACTGTCCAGAACATGAGATAACTTGATTTGTATTCCATCCGTGTCACGCAGTTACACCGGCTGTACGCTTTACACAGGGCGGCCGTCCTTATCCGTGTGGCCTTATCCATGCGGCCTTGTTCAGGAATCACTCCTACTCTAGGCACGCTTGTTTTATGTTAGTCCGAGGCGGATTGGTAGCAGAAGGTAAAGTGTGGCACATACAGCCGGGTTTCAAGGCAGATGGTGTCAGGAATGCTCAAGGTGAACAGAATCTTGACGTGACCTGCGCCTAGTGCGTGCATGGACCATGCTCATGAAAAGGTGATGATGATCAGCCTGAGCCAAGAGTGTCACCCAGGAGCCTGCGCCAGTAGACCTACATTATCTGTGGCAGGATATCTTATGATCGTCGCACGAACCTCTCGCGTTGTAAAACTGCTATGGTACACAACAACCCCTCACCAGACTGCTAGTTGGTTGCCTTCGGCAAACCTCTATGGTTTCTCAGGGCCTATAACCCTTGCCTCCTACGCAGACTCATGAAAACCTTGCCGCCAATGTCCTGATGCTCTTGATGAGTCCAACTCTAATCTCTTGCACAACCGTGCTTCTTGAACGATGTGTCCAGTACATTATGGTGTTCTAAAGCAACGTGGGTTGGGTATGGGATCTACGATGTGTGCTTACAGATATGTAACTTGTTATTGTGCGGATACCGGAGCTTAACGGATCCGCGTGGTGTGCACACACTTCACCTCGTCCAGCAGGTCCTGGAGCACTGCGATGTCCACTTCTCGCACGACTTCGTCGACGTCGATTCGGGCTAGCTTCTTCCAGTCGAGCTTTCCGTGCCTGTTGGGAGAGGGATTGGGTAGGATGATTGTAGAATGGCCCGCACCAACGGCCGAGGCGGGACAGACTTGATTTTGTATTGACTTTCAGGAAACTACGGTGCCTTGGTCGTGATCAGTTGAAGCGATTAGATAAAATTGTGCTTCACTTCAGTATATCATAGTTGCAACAGGGGTGGCTTTCGGTACACGATTCCCCTGTATCAGCATCTTCTACCGCTTCGTAAGCAGGCAGGACATACTGATTTTGTGTTCATTTTCAGGCCTTGTTTCAGGCCTTGGTCATGAATAGTACTGTTCCTACTTCTAGAAGAACAACCCTTGCGGCCAGAGCCATTCGCTCGCTCCATAAAACGCAGCTGCCCCGGTCAAACCCATCAGTAGCACGTCGACATTCTCACCCTCCTCAGAGCGGAAAGATGCGGTAACTGCAGCTGAAAACACACACAGACCACACCGACAGCAACCCATTCCAGATGCATAGAGCTGTTACGTCAACCTCCCGCACTTACACAGGCATCGGAGGCAACCAGGACAGGAGAATCCAGCCTATGTTGGGGGTCAGGGCAGCACAGCGCCACTTGCCACGGAACGTTCAATCCACACAACGGAGGCTGAACTTCTCTGAAGTCTACAAGTATTGGTATCCAAACCACGGGCAAATGTTGTTGTTGATGTGCCTTCTGTGTTCCGTGGCCACGGCAGGGACGGATGGAGTGTGCTCTCGCGGTGCACGAGCACAGCAAAGAACGTACTAGGTAGCGAAATCTATTGTGCCATCGTGATGGGATCATTGATCGGATACTACGCTGTAGGCAAGTTGGATATGCATTCTTGATATTATCTTGAAGCTTCCCGCGCGAAAGGACCGAAAAGAAACCACGACATTCCTGCTGTTGGCAAGAGAGCAAAGAAGCAAACCGACCCAACATCCAGCTGCGCCTCAGTCCCGACTGTTGCAAAAACACCCACCTCTGCCTGAAGTAGAACGCCACGGGTCCGAGAGACACGCCCACCCCTTGTATCTTGGTGCGCATGTCGATTGGTTGCTGCTGCTGCTGCTGCTGCTGCTGCACATCGTTCATGGGGATCGAGGCGCGATATGATTCGGGCTTACAGCATTCAACCCCTGGTCATAACGGCGAGGATCGCGGGCCAGATCAAAGAAGACATCCCACGGGTGTTGAGTACACACCTCGTACGACAGGGATTATTGGTCCGGCCCCAAGGATCCACTGACTTCTTTGCGGTGTCGTGTGTTGCACAAAATTGATGTCGGACAGCCTTGGGGGGCCCGTGACATATAGAAGATCAATTCCCGGGTACCATAGGGCTCCGCGGTTGTAACAGTCTGCCCTGAAACCAACACACCCTCACGCCATAGTCTGAACCACGTCGTGTCTCCGCTCCCACACCATAGATTCAGTATCAGAGCTAAAGGTTTGGCACTACTGCAGTAGGGTTAGGTATGGATTCTCATTAAAAGGTATTCCGGAGGAGGTCATGGAGGCTGCCCAACGCGTGAACATAGGGCAGAGTTCTGTACATGATCGGTCTCTTCTTGCCCGCCAGTCCATAGGCTACATTACCTGTTGTCACCCAAGTACTACTTGAAACACCTTATGCAGAAAGGATGTGTGCACTGCGCTAAGGGCGGACTAGTACAGTCGCTTGTTTACCACAACAACAGCAAGTAGCCGTGCTGTGTTTCGTTCTTCTTGGCTCTTTCACACAACAATTGGTCGACGGTCGGTCCCGAATGTCGGGTAGACTACTGTAGTCTATAGCTAGTCCACCCATGTGTGGAAAAAATGAAAATCTCTCTCCGCCGAGAAGCGATCGCTCCCCTTGCACGAAAGCACGGTGCTTTACGGTCGCCTTCTTTGCCTCGCCGCATCGATATGGGCGTGCCTGCACGTCGTTCTTCCTCATTTTGCACCACGTTGTCTTTGGGATTGGCAGCGACGATTCAATGCAAAGTGGAGCGACGGTCTTGTAATATTTATTCCGTCAAGAGAGGTCTGCCACGGCGATCGACGGTGATGGCCAATTCACAAGAGAACACACAGCCCTGAGGGGAGACAGCGGCGTAGCAAGTTGTGGGACCACCAGACAGAGGTTGCCTCGCCATTTGAATCTCTCACACCGACGTTCATTCCATTCGTAAGTTGTTCGCTGGAGATCTACAACAGTAGTAAGTGCTGAAGAGACCAGGGAGGAGGGTTGAACCTGACAAAACATCACCACAACCCAACAACAGTCGGATTGATTGGTTATATCGTCGTCCCGCATCCCGCCGACCCAATCCCCTCCTTCTGCTACTCGGGTATCCTAGGTACGGGAACAACACTACACGAAGCAAGGGGACATGTCAGTCGGTCGGGTACGTCGGCCGTACAGCACCGGTCGCCCCGGTGGTCTAGTGGGTAACTTTGCAGCCTGCTAAGGGCCAGGTCATGGGTTCAAGCCCCCGCAGAGTGAGTTTTTTTCTTACTAAATAAATCCTGGTCTAGGATGAAAGCGACGCGCTGCAAAGCTCGTTGTTAGTAAACCATAATCGACTTCGTAAGTCGCGAGGGAAGGGATTGCTGCACCCTTCTCGCGATAAAAATACCACAGGCAGGAACCACAGGAGGGGGTCAAGCCCCCCCCTCCTATGTGACCCCGGTTGGGTCGTCTAGCTAGTAGAAGTGGAGGATAGGGGCCAGAGGGGCAGACGACAGAGTCCAATGATGGGAGAAAAAAAAAATATATATATATATATAGTATATATATAGGCCGGTCTCGCTATCCCAAAAGTGAAAAGCGAACATGCAATAAAGCACAAGGGTGAAAAAAGGCTTGTCTCTGGCAACAACGGCTGCCGATCTCCGTCCCAAGGACCCAAGCACTCAAGCAACATCACCCGGCGAACACTTCAGGTACACGTGATACTGACGAAGTCAATATCCACGCCGTAGGCAACCGTTTGCGGGGTCCATGGGACATCAAGCAAGGCTATGAGTATGAGAGACGTAAGGAATCCCCGACACATGTAGGAGATCCACATGAGGGGCACGAGGACGCATGTCCGCAACGGTAAGCAAGGCTGATCGAATGGGATATCAAGCAGCTGTTGAGAACGAAAAAAGGGTAAGAACGATCCGTCTATCAGGGTATGTTTCAAGCCAAACACTTTTCGTCTAAAGCACACCAAGACGAGCGATCAAACCATTCCCGTCTGAAAAACGCTAAAAACAAGCGTCGGAACCACCTCCAATTCAGGAGGTCAACCAAAACAGAAGACTGAACAAAACGCGACTCCCTTCCTCATCAACACATTAAAACAGACCAACAACACGCCCCGTGCCGAAGTCGATGTCAACATCATAGAAACCCGGTCGCGTTGGAAGGCCCGGGATGGTGTTAATGTCGCCGCAAAGAAGGTACACGAACCCTGCCCCCACGGAAGCCCGCACATCGCGTACGAACACCTGAGTGACCAAGATTTTCAACAGGTAGGCGGAAAAACAGACAACAACCAGCTGTGTGAGTAAAAATAAACAATGTACGAATCAAATCCACGAGAACAAGAGCAAGCGGCATGAAAAGAAAAAAATGAAAAGCTAGACTGCTGTCTGTTTTGTCAATATCTTCGGTACGAACCACCAAAGCTAGCAGTTTGTCGTGCTTCCATTGAGTCTACATGGGAATAAATCAACACTACAGGCCCCGGCCGTCATCGATTTGTGCTCGTCGCCGACGGCAGGCAGCGTTTGATATCGTCACGATGCGCACACGATCGCATCACACAGGTTCGAGAGCGAGCTATCAGATGAACCAGTGCCCTTGCGGAGGGTATTACTTTAATCAGCAGGAATAAATGGCTGCCACAGCAACGCAGATAAACACAGACTTGACCCTCCCAGAGGCATGACAGTCAGGCAAAAAATGGACAGTACACAGAAAATAACAGGAAGAAAGACGAGGGAACTTCCCGAGTCCCGCGGCATGACAATCACAAGACAAGCAAACAGTATCCCCGGTTTTCATACCCTGCAAAAAAACATCGACACACAGAAAACAGCAGTTAGGCGTTCGCACAGAGGTAGGAGAACCTCTTCTCTGGTGACGTCACCACCCCCTCACCGTATGTCCTGACGGGGCCCCCTTAGCCGACGGGTCCGTGGAAAGGGAGTACTGCGTCTTCGCCACGCAAATCGGCAGCTGAAAAAATAAAAACAGGTTCGTCACACGTGAAAGCATGTTTGAACTGAGTTACAAAAGACAGCTGCAAACGCAAAATAGATAGAAGCATGTCCGAGTTTAGTACAAAGGAAAGTCAAGGTCTAGGTCCGGTAAAGCTCCGGCGTTACAAGTGACCGGGATGCGGTAAGCCGCAGCACACAAGGGAACAAGTCAAGGACGAAACGGGGACAATGGGCCGACAGACAAAGATGACAAAAAAAATGAGATGCATTGTGTTCCATGAGGAAATACGATTGTGCCGCCTCTCGTTCTGTGGACAACGGAACAAACACGGCAGCAACCAGGGATCACAGAGGAAAGGAGGCGGGGTGGGGGGGGGGGGGGGGCTACTTTGGACTG